GGTGCCAGGGGCCGCGGGGGCTATTTGAAGCCCAGCAGCCGGGCGCCTTCCTTCACCTTCTGGGCCTTCCAGCGGAGCAGGCGGATGGCGCGGAGGCTGAGCCGCAGCACCGCGTCGTACTTGAACACCAGCTTGTAGAAAGCGTCGGTCATGAGGGCGCCGCTGGGGTCGGCGTGCTTCAGCGCGGCCATCGGCGTGTACGCCACGTTGGTCTGGTGCCGGAAGGGCGGCCGGGCCGACTCGATCACCCGCAGTGTGTGCTGCATGGGGGGACGTTACTGTCCCCATCCCCGTCCCCTCCTCATCCCCATCCCGTCCCCATTCCCATCCCCCTCTCCATCTCCAAACCCTTTCCCGTCCCATCCTATCCCCATCCCCATTTCCATTCCCATTCCTACCCCATCTCCTTCCCATTCCCATCCTATCCCTATCCCCATCCACAACCCCTTCCCATCCCATCCCATCCCATCCTCATCCTCACTCCCAGCTGGGCTCAACCCCATCAGGATGGAGCCTGCGGGGAAGGAGTTGTAGAGCTGGGACTCCTTCCCCACTGCCAACTGGGGGTGGCTGCTCCTCATCAGGGCTAATTGAGGCTTCCCTAGACAGCCCAGCCAGGGCTGCCAGGCTGGGGGGTGGGAATAGGGCAGCCCCCAGCCCAGCAGGGCCACCCGCCCGCCTGTCACCTCTGCAATGTCCTCGGGGGTCTGTCCTAGGCTGGCGAAGACATCCTTGGAGTTCCTCAGGTAGAGGTTGGTGAAGATGTCGGCCGTCTCGGGGTCGGTCCGTGAGTAGTCGGCACGTTCGGCTTCCTCGTACACCTTCGCCTCAAACTCCGTCGTCACCGGCCCCGGCTCCACCAGGCTGATCCTGACCGGGGACAGGACGCTGGGGACCCCGGCACCCCCCAAACCCCTCTGTCCCGGAGGGACCACGCCAGACACCAGCCCCCAGCACTCACGCCACGTTGAAGCGCAGCGCCTGCACCACCAGGCAAACTTAGAGGCTGCGTAGAGGTCGTTGAAGACGATGCCTGGGCAGGAGGGGGGGTCCTGGTCAGCGCTGGGTGGGGTGGGCTGGTCCCACCAGGACACTCTGTCGTCCCCCCCCTACCCTGCAGGCCCATGATGCTGCTGATGACCACGATGTGGCCCCCGCGGCGCCTCTTCATGTCGGGC